ATATTTTTTTCATGTCCTTATATATCCCAACAAAATGGTATAGATGAAAGAAAACATGACATGTAGTTGATACTAATCTAACCCCACTTTTACAATCTTCCATGTCCTTAGAATTTTAGGATGATGCATTCTCAACTACGGTCTACCTCATTAACAAACTACCTTCACAAAACATAGAATGGAAAAGCCTATTGGAAAAATTGTTCAACCACACCAAACTATTCATTTCTCAAAACTTTGGCTGCCTATGCTGCCAAAACCTTCGACCTTACAATAATCACAAGCTACAACCTAGATGTACTCCATGCACCTTCTTGGGATATAGTAACATCCACAAAGACTATAAATTCTTATCATTTAATGGAAGACTATACATATCTTATCATAACCTATTTTCCATTCCAAAAACAAACCATTTCCAGACCATCTAAACCTACACCTTCTAAATTTCATCCATTCCAGTTATAGTGAGACCCTTACCTACTAAAATCAGCCATACTCCTAGATGTAGCCCTGTACATTCCTCAACTTCTCCACATCTAAGAAACCTAGACCAACCTAACTCTACTATTTCTGATACACCACCTACAATCACCAATCCAAACAACCTACCTATTACTAACTCACGACCAAAAAACTCTAGCCAACCTAATTGTCCACAACCTGTTCCTAATTCTGCTCCTCATTGTGTTCCTACTGTTTAGAATACGCACTCCATGACTACTCGTGCAAATAATGAAGTTTTTAAACCTAAGGTTTATCTCATTGATTATAAAGAATTAGAACTGACAAAAGCAAAAGAGGCTCTAAAAGATGAGCATTAGAGCAAAGTCATGAGGAATATAATGCTCCCATGAAGAGTGGAACCTAGGAAATAACTTACCCAATCACAAAGTAGTGAGATGCAAATGGGTATTGAAGATTAAGAGAAATGATGGATCGATATCTCGCTACAAAGCAAGACTAGTAGCTAAAGGGTTCCATCAAATGGCTGATATATATTATTCAGAAACATTTAGCTTTGTAGTTAAACCGATAACTTTTAGAGTATTGTTTTCTCTTGTTCTTGCACATGGCTAAGACCTATGTCAAATAGACATTACTAATGCCTTCCTTCATGGGCTACTACATGAAACTATCCTAATGGAACAACCTACGAGGTTTGTAACTACTGAGTCAGAACATATGATATGCAAACTACAAAAAAAAACCTTATATGGATTAAAACAAGCACCTTACATCTTTTATCTCCTATAGATTGCAAAGATGCTTGAAGCTAATATCATAGCTACACCTATGATCAATGACTTAATAGGTTATGCACGCTAAGAAGATCCATTATTAGAACCATACTTATACAGAAATATTTTTGGAGTCTTACAGTGTGCTACCGTAAATGGACTAGATATATTATTTGCAGTAAACAAAGCATGTTAGTTCACGCATGTTCCTACGATGACTCACTGACAGTTAGTTAAACGTATCCTAAGGTATCTAAAAGGAATGTTTAACCATGGATTACTCCTAATAAACCCACCATGATGATACTTCAGGGATACTCACATGTAGATTGGGCTTCGGACACTGACGATTGAAAATCCATATCCGAATTTTGTATCTACATAGGTGGGGATCTAACAAACAAGCAGAATTTTAGGCTCAAGTACAGAAGCAGAATACCGTGCACCTGCCCAGAATCACCGATTCTTAATGTCTACTCACCGACAGACATCGGCTTGCGGGTCGACAGCCAGAATCGAACCGAACCGAACCGAAGTTGGGTCGGGTCTGGGTTATAACCGAAAATAGGCTTCATCTTCTTTTTGTTAAATCATCCTCCTGCAACCGCTCTCTCAAACTCAATCTTCATCTTCAATGGCCTTTCTCTCAACCGACGCGCTCTCTCAATTCGACGCCGGACTCTTAGATGGCCGGTAACCCACGACTCACAGACAGGCGACGACCCACCATCGTCAACGCCCGGTGACCCAGTAGCCCTACCCCCGTACTCTCTCTTTTTCTTTCGCAATAGATGAAACCACCCTCGGACATCAATGACCTATGATACTCAAATGGCCAACGACACATGATTCTCAAACGGTTCTGCAGACCAGCTGTTGTTGTTCTTCAAACAAGTCTCCATCAACTTCTTTGGTTCTAAGAAGGCTTGCTTGCGGACTCGTTTTTGGACGTTTTGAAGGAAGAGTCGCCTCCTTTGCTCTTTTGGGCTAATTCGGTTAAACGTTTCTCCTTTTTTCCCTCCTCTTTGATGAGTGTGGCTTTGTTTTGCTTTCTAAGGTAGGTTTTAGGGTGAAATAATTCAAGAGTTTTGTTTGATTTATGAATGTTGATTCCTCCCTTATTCTTATTCTTCGTATTCTTTGTTTGGAAATTGGGGGTGTTTGAACTCGAATTTGGTGAGCTCGGGTACGAAGTAGATCGGAACAGTCGGGATGGACTACGGCCAACT